TAGTAACAAGAAGCTACCAGGAACAAGAAGCTACTAGGAACAAGTGCCTTACTAATAGTAACAAGAAGCTACTAGGAGCAAGAAGCTAGTAGAAACAATATTCTTTCCGAAGATAAGTCTTTCAAGTCCATCGCCAATCCATCCCGATCAGCACTGGCCCGATCCACACCTGTGGCTATGCCTCAACTCACGGAGGTGATGCCCGAAGTGTTTGGGCATAGCCTGCAAAGAGCAGCTGCAGAGTGGCGAAGAGCACATCTCTGATCTCTTCGTTTCACATGGTTTCACACTTAGCTCAAGTGCTTGTGTTCCCAGCCTCAAGTTTCCATGAGGCACATCAGCAAGCTACCCAAGAACAGGCTCAAATCTCTAAGCAGGTTCTTCTTGCCATGCGGCCACAATCTTTTGAGCATCTCGGGATGTTGGCAACTGTATTTTTAAATTGTCTCAAACCCTTTCACTCAGAACATCTTGCGTGAGGCTACATTCATCAAATCTCCTTTTGAGTGAAACGGCACTTGGCACGACACGTCAGCTATCAGCAGTCTTCCTGCAGCTTTTTGACGATGAATCGTCGAACAACGACAGATTGCGAACACGTCAACGTGAACACAACAGCACACAGGAACATAGCAGCGCTGTGGTTCAGCGCAGGTTGGTACTAGGGATTCGAAATAAACTCAACCCCTAGTAGCGTCCTTGCTCCTAGTAGCGCTTCCAGGAGCCCTACTAGCGTCCTTGCTCCTAGTAGCGATGCCAGGATCACTCGCCGCAGATGAACGGTGCTTGATGCTTTGGCCTCTCTATCTCCCACCTCTTACACCTTTTGCCCTTTTGCTTTCGAGCCAAACCTGCACTTCTGCCTGCAAGTTGTGAAGCGATTGTGAGAAAGGCGACAAAAGAAAGAAACAAACCAAAGATTGGGGTTGACTTTGGAGGCCTTGTGCCATAAAAACCTCTGAACACCCTCCAACTTGCGCAGCCCTCAACCAAATATATACAGGCACAGCAATAATTCCATGCTGTGCGCAAAGTGCACAAAGAATCCACATATTGAGCAAAAGCATTCATCGCTGTGTCCATGTTGCGCAATGCGTCACACCATTTCGCGCAAGGCCGCAAACGCTTCCAGAGGGTAGTTTACCTGGCCATCACGTCCTGCAATTGAGACGAGATCGAAACGAGCTCAGAAGACCTCTTAGCAAAGCCGAAAGATCATGCTGAGTAGACTTTGGAGCACGCTGATCGCCACTCTTTGTATTTTATGAACCGTCCCCTGATCCCATCACATTGCTAGTCCAGCACTTGTTTTGCAATCGAGATCATGATGGCTCTTCCAAGAAACTGAGCGGCCCCTCAAGAGCTTATCCAATTTGCTCTTTGGGGTCTGGGATCTATGTTGATTGCATTGCGTCGCAAATGACCAACAATTATCTGCCGTGCTTTCTATTTTAAGAGCCATGAGCAAGGGTTCAGCCACACACACACATCATTAGGTGCAAAAAGGAATTAGAAAAAGATGCAAAAAAAACAATATACTACTTCAAAATGTCAGCTTCTTTGGTCACACATGATTGTGAAAAGGACAGAAACGTAGACCCCGTGATGAGCAAAACACGGCCCTCCAAGGGTTTGGCACCGAATGACCTGAAGCAAAAGGACTAGTAACAAGTGCCACGCTAGGAACAAGTGCATCGCTTCTAGTAACAAGTGCCTTACTAGTAGTAACAAGGACGCTTCTAATAGCAAACATTGTTACTAGTAGTGAGGCACTTGTTACTAGTAGTAACAATGTTTGCGAACGTTGAAAGAATGAGCTTTTAGAAGTGTGAAAATGACTCTCTTCTGCTTCTGCTTTCTGCTGCGTCTCGTTGCTTCCACGGCTCACAAAGAACGATTTTAACACGACCACCAACATTATCCCAGACCGCTCCTGAGCATGTCCAGGGCCTCGTTCAAGCACTTTCTTGTTCCATCTCGAGGGCCATAGCAAGAGCGGTTTGTTCCGCTTCTTCCTTTCAGAGCAGAAAGAATAGCTTCCTTGTGTCAGAGAAAAACCCTTTCTTTGTCTAGCGTGGCTAGTAGGTTGGAGTCCATCGCTAGTAGTTAAGTTTCAAAAACATCAAGGAACCAAATCATTAGTGCGAGCGCTTCTTCAAGGAAGCTTCCCCCGCCGCCCTGTCGGGGGAGTTTCCTTGAAGAAGCGCAAGCTATCCTGCGTCCATACTAGCAGCTTAAATAAACTACTAGCTACCTAGCTACTAGCTACCTCTCTAGCTACTACCTCTACACGGCCTATTGGAGCCTTAGACTGTCCTCGAGGAAAGTTGGGTCCACGGCCGATCCAAAGCATGGGCGCTGTGAACTCTCGCTTTTGTCGCCTTCCTCTTTCGTGAAAGTTCCAATTCGTCTTTCTTCAGTTCCAATTGGTGCAAGTTCGCCTTCAGACTCACAGACAGGATCTTCGTTTTTCAGATCCACACCCTGCAAGACCTGCAGAGCTCGCGCAGTACCATGTGCTTCACAAATGTCCGCTGCACCTGTTGGGTTGGCACGTTGGTCCAGCAAAAGCCGAATCACGCCAACAGCATCACAACGACACGCCAATTGGAGTGGACTCAAGCCATCAGGGCCTGAGGCCTCCAGGTTGGCATTTTGCCTCACAACGAATCAGAACCGCAGCCTTTTCACATTGAAAAAGTGCCACTAAGGAAAGTGAAGTGCCCGTAAGCATGCTTAGAGGTCGTTTCGGGAAATGTCCTTGTAGGCTTTCGTCGCATTGTTTGTGATGAAGAGAAAACCGGAATTGTTTCAAGTAGGTTTTCCATGCACAGCCTCTTGGAAGGTTTTGGAATCCTGCCCTTGGGATGATTTTTATGAAGCACCTTCTCCTTCTTCTACTGCACAAATGGCAGTAAAATGTCAGGTGAAGACAAGTGTCCGGAGGAGGTACGCAACTGCTTCTTCCTGATCTGTGATCACAGCGGCATGCAGGGGACGGCAACCGTCTTTTGGGTCAGCTTCTTCGATGTCCTCGCCATCCCTCCTTTGCATCAACTGTCTACATGATGTTCTTATGCTATGTGGTTTATATGTTCTTTATTGTTCTTGTGCTTCTAGGTTGGAGGCCATCGCTAGGTAGGTTGGAGGCCATTGCTTCTAGGTTATGAAGACATCATTGGAAAAAATATGTCGTAAGTCAGCAGAGTTACAGGCCATCCATCAAGTCATGGACGTTTCCAAAATAGGCCTGGGAAAAACCGCTAACACAGAAAACGATGTGATGTCAATGCTCAAAACAGTCTGCCATATGCAAATACAACACATCGTCAAAGAGAACTGAGAAAAACGCTTGAGAACACACTACAAGTAGCTACAAGGAACAAGAAGCTACTAGGGGCTCCTGGCATCGCTACTAGGAGCAAGGACGCTACAAATCTTTGTGACTCGAGGAAAAACGCTACTGCGGAATCTCGGGACTCGTCATTTGGAGACCGCGACGAATCAACCACGCAAAAGAGCTATGTTCAAACATGTCAGACATGGCTTCAACTATGTTCAAAAGTTGTATTTAAAACTGTGAAATCCACTTCACCCGTTGATCTCATTTTCGACAGGTGCACAAATCAAGAAGTGTACCGCTTTGACACGCTTTTGGCTCAAGAAAACGTCCGACGAACTGGACACGCGCTTTGTCATAACCACAGGTTATGAGCCCAAGGTGATTTTCATTTTCGAAGTCCACCTCCGACTGTTTCGTGGACAGCGGAGTGTTGGTCCCCATGGAGCAGCACCGACGACGGCGCCTCAGGTCCCGAGAGGGCAGAGATCAGCGACCTGGACCGGGTGAAGGCGAGCTGGAGATAGGGGAAGCCGATCGGAGGCTGAACCAGCTCCTGACGGAGCATCGACGGTCGCAGAGGGCATCTTCGGCACCAACCCCGGGGCATCCTGGAATTCGACGAGTACAAGGTGGGGGACAAGGAGAAGGGCGAGGAGATCAAGATCAGGGTGGTCAAGATGGCTCGAGCGGGGGACAGCTTCCCTCGCTGGCAGGGCCTGGAGGGCCACATGTCACCTTTGAAGGCGATGGGATTGCTGGAGGACTGTTCGGGGCGCTTCAAGATCCTCGAGCTGGACAGATGGGTCTGGGACGACTTCAGGACACTGTTCGGCATGGTCTGGAAGCATTGCATTTCGCCCTTCAAAAGGGGACAACGTGCACCAGGTCTACAACGTGCACCAGGTCTACAACGTGCACCAGGTCTACTTGATCCTCTTCTTCGACCCCACGATCAGGGACATCCTGGAGTACCACTTCCTGGAGCTGGACAACTACCTGTATCGCCTCACACCGATGGGAGCTACGGGTGGGAGTGGACGAACCGGGATCTTTACCCCGCCGGAGGCTGGAGCAGGGAGTGTGGGTGGTCAGGTGTATCCGAGAACACTGGAACCCTATGCTTCACGGGGAGCGGATGTGAACCCCTTCTGGAGTGCTCCGAGGGAACGGGCGGTTGGAGATGGTGAACTTCCTCAACCGGAACCTGGTTTGGGAGTTAATGAAGTTGAGAAGATTCGCTTGAGGATTCTCAAGGAGGCGGAGGCGAACTTTGCCGAGGAGATCAAGCGGCTTTGCGGAAGATGCGTCATCTTATGCCTCAGCAGCCAGTGCAGCGGCAGCGGACCAGGCGAAGAAGGAGGCCGGGGTGAGCATGGGAGAGACTGGAGGAGGCCCAGGTCCGCCAGGTGATGGGGGAGGGGTAGAACGGCCTCCAGGACTTCCAGCAGATCGACCAGAACAAACTGGATTGACTATACCGGAGGCGGTTCGGTCCTTGGAGTTGCCGGCTTTGCCAAGCCCGAGCAGCGGGGATGCCTCCATCCAATTTGGGGGCTGGCTGACGGCCTTGATGTCCGATTTGAGCAGCAGTGCGCAACAGTGGTGGGATCAGGCGATCAAGGAGGCTGAGCTTCTCTATGACAAGTGGTTGAGTTCCTCGCCGCTTATGAGGCTTTGCATCAAGTCTGAGCTCCCAGTCCCGGAGAAGTTCAAGAGAGTCGAACAGAAGCGCATCTCAATGTTGTTGGCAGCGCTGCCCTCTGACATCCGGAGAGATGTGATCACAGCTAGGCAGGTCTCGGTGGTGTCAGTGCTCTTCAAGCTGTGGACAGTGTATCAGCCGGGGGCCGGGAGCAGCTGAGCGAACTTCGATATTGAGATCGTTGACTGAAATGAAGGTGGGCTCAAATGCGACGGATCTTCTTCAGGCCCTGAGGACCTGGCGACGACTGTTGGGTCGCGCAGAGGAGATCAAGGTGGCGATTCCGGATCCCTTGGTTCTGATGTCAGTGCTGGGAAAGGCCTCGGAAGGACTCATCAAGGTGGGAGGTCATCACAAGCTTCCTACAGGATTTCGAGTGTTCGCCAAGAGCTGAGGGTACCATCAACCAGGTCTACATCAGATCAGGGACTTTGCGGAGTACCTACAAGCGGAAGCTGAGGATCAGGCATTGATTGCGCAAAGTCTCAGGCACCTTTGACCTCCAGTAGCGCTCAGGTGGCCCCGGCGGTGAAGGCGGTGGCATCAGCGGCTACGGGGGAGGACAAGGAAAGGAAGGCACCATGTCGGTATTGGGGCACGGCAACAGGTTGCAAGAGGGCGGATGGTTGCTCGTTTGCACACTCTTGGGACCAACTGGAAAAGAATGGAAGATGCTTTGTGTGCTCTGGACAGGGGCATATGTCCAGGGAGTGCCCTTACCGGAAGGAGAAACCTGGCAAGGACGCAAAGAAGACGGCGAAGGTGAAGGGCGCGGTCGTGGAGAAGGAGGAGACTCGCAATCCTGGTGAGTCTGGGAAGCAGGGGACTACTTCATCGACGAGCCCGACGATCCCTTCTACCGGGGTTGGAGAAAAAGGGAAGGATGGTGGTGTAGAGCAGCTGAAGAGGGAAGATCCCGCTTCGGAACTGATCACCGAGGCCACGTCCCTACTCAAGTCGCTCCGCAGCATGAAGACCTTCAGGCTGAAGCAGGTCAATGTGGTGGGGAATGAGGAGAAACAGGAGTTAGCTTTGCTGGATGGTGGAGCGACTCACCCGTTGAGGATGGCCAGGCCAGAGCGGGGGGGTGCTACAGCCGATCACCGTGTAGCTAGCACATGGGAGTACTACATTGTACAAGCATCTGGACTTCGATACCCTATTGGCTCTGGAACCAGTAGAACCAATTCTGCCACTGCATATGCTGGTGGAAAATGGCTACACCATTCACTGGACTGGACAGGAATTGGTGGCGTCGCATCATGCCGGACGTGCCGGAGGACGTGCTGGAGATGATGGTGGGGTTCTCAAGTGAACCGAACCCTGATTTGCTGCCGTGGAATAGACGCCAACGGCGTCGGCACAACCGAAGTAAGGGCTTGGTGATCCACCTGTTTTCAGGAGCAGACACAGGACGATGGAAGGGCACCTTGCCAGATGAGATGGACTGGATCTTCCTGGACTTGGAGTTGGGAAATGGTTTCAACCTGCACAACGTGAATGTATGGAGCTATGTTTGCTCGCTGGCTCGTTCTGGGAGAGTGAAGGCCATTGTGGGAGGTCCTCCCTGCAGGACTACGAGCAGGCTGCGAACTAAGGGGCCTCCAGGACCAAGGCGGGTGAGAGGCCGTGGCTCTGACCGTTGGGGATTGGAGGGGTTGACGGCCCGAGAACGTGAACGAGATTCGGCATTGGTGGTGAAACAAGTGGGACTTTGGCATCTAGCAGATCAACATCGAGAGGGATCTGAGCCAGTTGCCTTCCTCCTGGAATCTTTTCAGGATCCGGCTAGCTATGTGGAAGAGGGGGTTGATGGAGGACATGAACATCCATCGTTTTTTGAGTGGCCTTTGATGGAATGTGCCTGGTGAGCTTCGATCAAGGGAGAACGGGGCATTATTGCAGGCGAAAACCTACGAGTCTGCTCGCAAACCTTCGTCACCTGGAGGACCTGGACGGGCTCAGGGGGGGAGGATCAGCGGACCCGGTGGAAGGAGGACTACAAGAGAGAATGAGGGCCTCTCGTTGATGGACGGATGGTCTGGTCAAGGCTATTGGGTTGGCCTTGAACCTCCGGTTTGGGGGAAGAGCACATGCTGGCTTAGCCAAGATGGACGTGGAGGAGTGGAAGAGACACATCAATCAAGAGCATGTTCCATACAGGAGAGACTGTCGGGACTGTGTGGAAGCGATGGGATTCTCAAGCCCACATCGGCGGTCTAGAAACGCCTCTTCATCATTCGTGATGGCGGTGGACATCATGGGTCCATTCGAATATGGCCGAGATCTTGGACTGAACCAGTGGTGTAAGTATGTGATGGTGGCGACGATCCCGGTGCCGATTGTGAAGGATCTGGCTGGGGCACCAGAGGAACTACTGGACCATGAGGCGGACGTCAAGGATGTGGTGGACATTGAGGACGAGAAGGAGGATGTGGAGCGGCCTTCAGACGAGCAGGTGGCTGAGCTGAACATGAAGGCCTCACTGGAGCGAGCTCAAGAGGAGGTTCCTCTCCAAAACCTCACGATTGCTGAGCCAATGCAATCTCGAGCGGTGGAGGACATCGTGCAGGCTCTCTCGAAGATCCATGCCCACTACAGGATGCTCGGGGTGAGGCCATGTCGGCTCCACTCTGACAGGGAGAAGTCCTTCCTCGCGAAGGCAGTGGCCAGGTGGGTCCAAGCTCGGGAGATGGTTCACACGATGACCTCGGGCGATGATAGCCAATCCAATGGCAGGGTGGAGGCGGAGCTGTTGCAGCTAAAAAGAAGAATGAGGCTCCTACTGCATACAAGTAAGGTGGAAGCTTCACTATGGCCATGTGCATTGAGGCACGCAGCGACTCAACGACTTCGACTACAACTCCAGAGATTGGGAGTGGGTGTGAAGCCAATGGTCAATTTTGGGTCGATGGTCATGGCCAAGTCCAAGAGGTGGCATCACAAAACGGGGGAGCTGACCAACCCGTTCAAGAGGGTACAGGTGCTCGGTCCAAGTCCTTTGATGTCGGCGGGTTGGGTGGCCAAGGACAAGCAGAACAGGATTCAACACCTACGAAGAGTGGTGACACCATCCAAGACACTTGAGGCCATTCTGGAACTGCAGGAGGTGGACCTGAAGGACAAAGGCATCAAATATCGGTTGGTGGGGAAGCAGTCTGCGGACCCGGACCCGCTGAAGGATGTGGTCTCTCGGCATTATGACGCAGTTGCAGCAGCCGGAAAACCAGCTCTTCGAGTTCTACGAGCTGGGGGGGGACAACTAATCCAACGGGTGATCCAATTTTGGATGCAGGGGTACCCGCTCCATTGAATTCGATGTCCCTGCAGCAACCTGGGGAGGACGTGAACGACCTGGAGGAGCCCTCCGATCGACCGATGGAGCCTGTGGAAGAAGGAAATCAAGAAGGTAACACTGAAGGGGTGGAGTTGGAAGTCAGTGGTCCTTTGAGGGAGTACCTGCAGGAGCTGGAAAGGGACTTCAGTGGAGGTGGTCTGGAGTTCGTGGACGAGGAGGAAGATATAGAGGAGACGGAGCCGGAATCAGAAGATGGGGAGTCGGGATGGAGGGCGTGGGAATGTCTCAGTGAGCTCGCGATGGTGTGCTGTGGAGACTGTGGCCTTCTTCAACCAAGACATCCGCATCAAGCGCCAACGGAGAAGCCCAGAGACCTTCGAGGATGTGGTGTAGTGGTGAGCTCTACGCAAGCTGCAGTGGAAGGTACACTGGACTTGGTGGAGGCTACACAAATTTCTTGTGGGTTCTGTGGGGGCAGCCTGGGGTATGTGGACGATTACCGTGAAAGGTGCACGGGAGGAATTTGGAAGGGTTCCAATTGCTCCTGGGACCAAGCGGAGGAGTGGCATGCTATGGAGGTTAGATCACACTTGCTGATGAAACGGCTTTGGAGTGAGGAGCTTCGACATCAAGCTGTGGGAGAAGAGCAAGGTCGGCAGCGAGGCCGTTGGATGGCTGCGTTGGAGGCGGGATTGCTAGTGCAGGAAGACCACCTGGAGGACCAGCGCCGGAAGTTGGAGCAAGTGCGGTTGGCTGCGCTGAAGAATGAGGCTGGCCTGGAGATCCAAGAGCCGGGAGCCCCTCCACCAATTGTGTTGCAGACTTACGCAGTTCCTCTTCAACAAGTCCGGCAAGAATTAGCTGCTTGGGTGCCTCCAATGACCGACGAGTACCAGTCTTTGATTGAAGGGACGAAGGCCCTGAGCCGGACCACGATGGAGGAGTTGGAGAAGGACCCACTCTTCGAGAAGATGGAGGTTGCGCCAGGAATGTTGGTGCCAACCATCAAGGCGCCTCATGGGAAGAAGCGAGCTCGAATTGTGGTGCGCGGCAATCGACTGGAGGCGATGGGGGGAGGTGGAGGTGATCACCAAGTGAAGGAGGAGCCCCACAACCTCTATGCTGGGGGCGCAGACGGCACCACGATCAGATGTCTTCTTCGAAAGGCCGCGGCCATGAACTGGGAGATTGCGACCTGTGACGTGAAAACTGCCTTCTTGCTAGCTCCCAGGGAGGACTCAGACCGGAAGTTGGTGGTGGTGAAACCGCCCAGAATTTTGGTAGAGGCTGGGATTGTTGGTCCTCGCGAGCTTTGGAGGGTGCAGCATGCACTCTATGGGCTTCGGTCCTCGCCAGCGGATTGGGCCTCGTTCAGAAATAAAATGTTGAGGACCTTTCAATGGCAGCAGGATGAGGTGACGCTGGAGTTGCGAGAGACCCCAGAACCGAATCTGTGGAAGATCATCGAGCGGAAACCGCTGGACCAGGAGGAGCCTCCTCCGAGGGGCTTCGTTGGGGTCTATGTAGATGACTTCATCGTCGTTGGTGCCAAGGACATTGTGAAGGGAGCTTTGAGCAGGATTGAGATGGAAGTGTAGTCCAGCCGATTGGGTGGGCAGTGAGCGGTGGACAAAATTCAGTGGTTTTGAGCTCAGATGGAGTTCGGCGGAGGAAGACAGTGGACTTTATGTGGGACAACAGGCCTACATTCAGGAGCTGCTCAGCCGACATCCTGAGGTCAAGCCGTCAGCTGCGCCTTTTCCCGGAGTGCCCGATGAGGAGCCGGAGACGGAGGTTACACTTGAGCAGGTGAGGAAGGCGCAGGCTTTGGTGGGCGAGCTACTATGGGTGTCAGTGAGGAGTCGACCGGACCTGGCCTTTGGAGCCCACCTGCAGTAGGGAAGATGGGTCAGAAGGAGAACCCAGCTCTGAACCTAGCCGTGAGGGCTCCCGGGATTTCGCGGTATAGAGGTTTGCCATGGTGGAAACACGAAGCGGGCAAGACTTGCGGCACTTGGGCAGGGATCTTCTACGGCGTCAAGGCCACCTCCGGAGATGGATTTGAACTGTCCTTGGACTTGGAGGAGATTTTCTTTACCTTCGCAAGGTCAGGATCGATGGGATCGTCTTCCTGGAGGGTGGTGGGTACGGCACCGTGTCAGGCAGAGAAGAAGACCTTTTCATCCAGTTCATCGACGAACCCCCGTAGATTGCAGGCAAATCCAAGATCGGAGAATCACTGTCTTGTGGTGCCATGGGGAAAGGATGATGCGGGACGATGACTGGAGGACCCAAACAGAGCCACCGGTGAAGGACGCCTGGGTGGGTTATACTTTCTTCAGAGAGCTTCGGCCAGAACCAGCGGGGAGTACTTTGAACTCGACCTCAAGTTCATCTACCACCAAGGGGCAAGGAGATCGCACTTCTTCTTCGATGAGCGGCTCAGGAATGTCGGGACCACCGCCAATGCCGGGCATTGCGGAAGATGGACTGCTACCAGATGGGCTGCCCAGAGATGTGAGACAAGGTGGACATGGACTGAGGACTGACTCCCTGGGCTCAGGGTCTGATCAAAGCACGAGCATGACGGAAGGTGTGGAAAGCATGCTGGGAGGATATGCGCAGAGACTTCGAACTCATCTTCATCGAGGAGGAGGGGACGGTTCTGAAGCCTCAGGAGACTCCCGAGAAGTTTCCATGGTGAACGAAGAGGGCGATGTGGGGTTGGACTATGATCCAAGGTACTGGTCGCATGGACCAGGTGGACATGATGGCACAACCCCAAGTGATGATGAGCGAGATGATTGGTTGGGTTTTATGCAGGATCTTGCAGGTGACGAAGGGCGACAGAGTGGGAATCAGCTTTTGGGCAGTGAAGCCAGCAGTGCCGAGAGAACTGATTGGAGGAGATCTTTGGCTAGCGAGGACGAGGATCCACCTTCATTGGATAAGATGAGGGCTCGAGGCTGGACTGTGGTGCGAAACAACTTAGCTCCCCCAAATCAGGAGAGCTATCGAGGACCTGATCGGGATCTCTCATCGGTTGATGACCACGAGCAGGAGACGCCCACTTGGATGGGCATTGCAACGCAGATGCCTGTGAGGCCCCGCGACGCGGTTTTTCTGGAACCTCAAGGGTCCGTGAAGACTCCACGGAGTCAGAGGAAGAAGATAGCCGAAGGTAGAAGAAAAAAACCTACCGGAGGCTGGTGGCTTTGGAAAAAAGCCAGGGGGAGTGTGAAATCCACTTCACCCGTTGATCTCATTTTCGACAGGTGCACAAATCAAGAAGTGTACCGCTTTGACACGCTTTTGGCTCAAGAAAACGTCCGACGAACTGGACACGCGCTTTGTCATAACCACAAAAACAAAGGTCAGTGTGCTTTGATGTGTGGAGGCCATCGCTACTAGTAACAAGAAGGTACTAGTAGCGATAGTGTCTTGGCAACTTTGTTCGCGCTGTCTGGTCGAAGGCGTCACCACACATGGCAAGTGTGTGACTCTTGGTCGCACACACTAATACCTTGATGCCCCTAGTAGCTTCTTGTTCCTAGTAGCGATGCCCTTGTTACTAGTAGCTTCTTGCTCCTAGCAGTAATGCCAAGAGCTACTAGTAGCTTCTTGTTGCCACACTAATACCTTGATGCCCCTGCCATCATCACAAGTGACATACTTGAAGTACAACCGACAGACCGAAAACATATGACACATGCAACTCTGACATCGAGATGAAACACATAAAGCATCGTAAAGCCATAAAGCCAAGGACAAGGCCAAGCATAAAGCCAAACCAAAAACCAAGAACAAGGCCATAAACCAGAAAAGGCTGCAAGAAAGAAGAAAAGCAAACAGCGTCGAGTCAAGCAAACAGTGGTCAAGTCAAGTGCCGCAAGTCCGCGAGTCGCACAAGCCGCACAGTTCAGCAATTGGGAACACAAAGTTGTGAACCTTTATGATGTGTTTTTCTGTGTCTAATAGCAATGGCTTCCAACCTAATAGCAGTGTGTGAGCACCGTGTTTGCATAGAAAGATGTGTTATCCCGCCTGGAAACTGGCATCTTGCAGTCTAGCGAGATAGTGTAGAGCATTCAAACAGCCACTTCTAGACAGGAATGGACAGCATCACAACCGACAGTGTTGAAAAGTCACGGAAATCGGTAAAAAAAAGGATAGGACCTGACGTTTGCGCTATCGTTGTGCCAAGCAGCCGCGGCAATCAATGCCATCAGCTACATGTCGTGCCAAAGTTTCTGGAGTTCGACTAGCTTGACGTTGAACTCAAGGGAAACGCATAGCACTAAGATAAATTGTCAATTTACAATAAGCGCTTGCAAAGCATGACTCCGCTTTCTTTATTTTAGACCTTGAAAAGCTTCGTTTCCTGCATTAGATTCTTGTTGTGGACTTTTTTCAAGAGGCAACAAAATGTTGCTTGCTGGTATGTTCTCCAAATGCCTGCGGCGTTCATTGGCACTGTCAGAAAGTCATAGAGGGTCAAGCACATGACATGGAGGGACATCTGGAGGGACGTCACGTGTGCTGATCTTTATTTTGATGTTGGAGCTCTGCGCAAGCTCCTACAAAGTCGCTTCTTGGAAGTGACTAGCGAACTCTGGTGAAACTGGAAAGAGTGCACTGAGGGCACTGGGCATTCGATTGAGCTCCTCACAGGTCGACGGTACCACCAGCAACTTCCTCACTGGACTCAAAAGGCGAGCGAACACCACGGGAGTACCACCTCTCGGAGTCCAAGACATCGCTCTCCGATTTCAGGCCTCGCTAGTAGTAACAAGTGCCTTACTACTAGTAACAAAAAACTATTAGAATTAACTAAATTAACTTAAATTAATTGCTTCTTGTTACTAGTAGTAAGGCACTTGTTACTAGAAGCGATGCACTTGTTACTAGTAGCTTATTGTTTCCGATTCTAGGTTACATTGTGTTTTTTAGGTTGGAGGCCATCGCTATTACTACGTGTTACATTGTGTTTATTGTCTTCTTTAGACCAAGGGATACCTCTCGGAGTGCCGACATCGGTAGGATTCGTCTGCCAAGGAGCAATGCTTGGTGCCGCAGTGCGCCTTGTCCACAAGGATGATCTCACATGAGGACGCCTCGGTGTCGGTCAAACAAGCGCATTGTTTATACTAGCGTCCTTGCTCCTAGTAGCGATGCACTTGTTACTAGTAGCTTCTTGTTCCTACTAGTAAGGCACTTGTTCCTAGTAGCGTCCTTGCTCCTACTACGGCCAGGAGCCCCTGGTAGCGTTCTTGCTCCTAGTGTTATATTCATTTTGAGTGGCCCTAGTAGCGATGGCTCCCTAGTTTCATTTGTCGGTCAACAAAGCGTTCGGGTTCAAAACTCGGTGAAAAGCTGGGCGTTCAAAGCTCGTTCCACCCACCTCACCTGCTTTTCGCGGGCAAGCTAGCCACGCGCCACAAGAGTTTCCACAATCTTGACAAGCGATTGCGCGTGTCGTGCTGAAGGTGCTGATAATGAATCTGAGCAACAGTGAGAAAAGAAGACGAAGAAGGAGAAGAAGAAGAAAAAGAAGAATAGGAAAAGAACCAAAGGAGACCAGGAGGTTGACCACATACCAATTACGGACATGAGGCACGCACAAGTTGAGCTAGCCGTCAAGAAGTGTGTTGCCATCTCCAGAGATGCAAATCAAAACGTTGGTCTCAAGTGCCAAATGCACACAACCGTGTAGCGTGAGGGCACCAGCGTGATAGAAGTGAAGATGCATGCGGAGAGACACGTGGGTGGCTAGGTTGTGAAAGAGTTCAGGAACGTCATGTGGTGCAAGCCACAGCGTGAGCAGGAGACCACGAGTAGGTTGGAGGCCATCGCTTGCATTTACAAAGGTGGTACAGCTACACATAGGAGCAAGGACGCTACTAGGAACAAGTGCATCGCTTCTAGTAACAAGTGCC